TTTGGTATGATAACCTTTAAGAGCACAGCATACCAAAACTTTACTTAAAAGCACAGCAGGTTTCAAAAGAGAGGAAAACTGAATCAATTACGGTAAAATTCAACTTTTCATGGGTCTAATTGGGTAAAAAAAACTTACTTTCCATTGATGTATATTCAACCTTTTGATCCAGCTGGTATCTTGAATAAAGCAACACACCAATTGTAGCTTAGTCAATATTCGGTCTGTTTTAACAGAGATTAAAAAAATAAATCTACAACTAATGCATCACATGGTTAAATCATCTGTAGCCTTTAAAAAAACTCCCTACTTTGTTTCGAGCATATCACATAGGAGATTTGGAGAATGTAGAGTCACCTAAACAAATCTTTCCGTGGGAAGGAATACCTCCCAAGCATCTAAGGCAGGCTTCCCCAAACTCCGGCCCTCCAGATGTTGCTGAACTACACCTCCCATGATTCTATGAATGAAATAGATAGGCTGAGAATCATGGGAGATGTAGTTCAGCAACGTCTGGAGAGCCGAAGTTTGGGGAAGCCTGATCTAAGGTGTGACAGATCTGTCACAAATTCAAGGTGCTATGCCACCTTCCCAGGTGGGTCCGATCTGGGGATACCAGGAATGTAGCCCCAATAAGTGTGAAGGAAGGACATTAGACGATCTCATGCTGCAATGATTAACGTTAGGGCAAGGTAATGGGGTAGGCAACCTTCAGAACTCTAGATATTGTGCACTACAGCTCCACTGATGCTTTGGCAGCATTGTGGCTGTAAAAGTATTATAGGAGGTGTAGTCCACAAGATCTGGATTGCCGAAAATTTTCCTACACCTGGTATGTAATGTAGCGGTTTAACCGGATAAAACTATGTGATGTTGCATTGCCGTGGGCGGTATATAAGATGAAAGTGGAGGAGCTATACGCTTCTTCATGACTATCAAGTCTTTGAAAATTAAACTATGAAAGGCTTCATCGTGGGAATATTCCATAAAATATACATAATATATGCATAATAAAAAAAATTTGGATTATATTGCTTTGACTTCAGAACTCGCACTGCCCCATAATGCTTCAGTCATGTTTCTTCTTGTAGATGATTGCTTGCGATTCCGTGTTTCACATTTGCCTGGAAGGTCCTGATTATTGTATGTCACCGAAAAACGCACAGCTTGCGCACACTATCAGTTTTTAAAAATAAAGAATGTTCAGCGTCCTCATGAAATGGTGTTTTAACATCCTATTACAGTACTGAGCATGCACTTTATTTGGTAACTTAGCAGAGGTGATTCCGAAATAAGATTCCTAGGGATTTAGAAGATCAGACTGTATAGATGACATGGTCTTTTAACTGGTTATACATAAATAGACCAATATGACTTTCTCATTATCATTAACAACAGAGCAACTCCCTGCTTGGAAACCAGAAACTGGCTAGTGCTGCCCCCTAGTGCTACACAAAGCAGAAGACGTGCTGCACTGCCTTGATAAACTGATAAAGGTTTTGTTTTGGCAACTGAATGTTTCAAATAGTCAGAGATTTTATTTATTCAGTTCTTTTAAATGTTTTAACATTTAATTTACTGCCTGCGGCACTATTTATTTATTTTTTAAAACACAGAACTACATGCATGCATATGTGTTTGCGTGAATGTATATGTCTGTAGATTGTATGTGTATGTGTGTGTATATGTATAAATATATATATATAATGTGTGTGTATTTAATTATATATATATATATATATATATATATATATATATATATATATATATAATTATAATTAAATACATAAGCTAAATATATTGATTCATCTGGAATTTTTTTTTGTTTCTTTGATTTTTTTATACCTCTGTTAAACTGCATATTCTAATGCAACATTCCCCAACCCAGTCCTCCTGTGGCCTCCAAAAATCCTTTAAATAAGTCATGTAACATAGTGTTCGCTATCACAGCCTAATAACCGTAGTCAATCAATCTTGATTTAAAACCTCAACCTTTTTTTCAATTTTGCTAACCAGACCACATGTGTAATAATTCTCGTTTTAAAGACTATTTTGAATACTGATCCCCTTAAAATGTACAAGGCCTATCTGATTGCGTGTTTGCCAAACACAGGCTGCTGGAGACTCAGAAGTACTCCTAATCAGGACATTTAATATTTTGCTGAGTTGCAGAACTAGATATGTGTGCAGGATTCTGCTTAGTTACTTGTGTTATTGAGATGTTATTCTTGTATTGAATGTACAAACAATCAAACTGGTTTGACATTACAAGCTATAATTTAAAAAAAAAATTAATGGGATCATATTAATGCATTTTTTATTATTGATTATGTGTATTTAATCTCGCAGCCAAGCATTTGATGACGATATCCTGTTAACATGCTCTACGGACAGTAAACCTTTAAAAAGGTGCGTTGATTGCAAAGAATGTACATGTTATACATAGGTCAATCCATGAACATTCTAGTTTAAATGTACGACGATCCAGGCATCTGTCCTCTCTGAACTGGAGAAAGTTCAAGAATTCGTTCCTTGCAAACCTTCACAATGCTTTCACTGCAGAATAACTTTCGGTCTGTAATACTCTGAGCCAGTATTAGAATTAGCCGCTTAAAGTCTGAAATCTATCTTCTTCCAATAATCTTCTCATTAAGAGAGTAGGTGGAAACGTGGCATTAAGTTCTTGTTGCCAAGTTTGCTGGTAACTATAAATTAAAGGTACCGATTTGAGCTGATTTGCAGAAATTTTAATCTATTTACTTATTTATTTTTTTAGGAAAATCAATATATTTATAGATAATTTCTAGAAATATTATCCATGCTAATTTAACACTGTGTGATTAGGTTAAATTAATGTTAAGAACCTTTCTAGTAGATCATTAATTATCTGCCATGCACTTATTAATGTATCTGTTTTAATCAGAAGATCATCCTCTATTCTGCCCTAATGCCTTTTTAGACTGATATTCTATTTTAACACAGTCAATCCCTAAAAGCAGATAATGTTTTTTTAGAAGTTAAACAGACACTCTGAGCACCTATGCAACTTTAATGCATTTCATGGGTTTTGACCTCATTAAAATGCTGTATTTTTTGCATGCTCAAATCTTTATAGCTTTTGCACACAAAAAAATACTGTGTGTGTTTTTTGGGCTCTCTTTCGTGTTGTTATTAACATGTTTATTTACTAGCAGCTTTAGGGTGTGGCTAGATTTTGTGTCTATGAGTAAAGTACTATTGGTATGGTATTGGTATGAAACGCGTTGGGCAGCTCTCCTCTTAGTGTGGTGGTGGGCTCTCCTAGTTTGCTATGGGATAGAAGACATGGACATTATTCTTTGGAGAGAAAAAAAACATTGCACAGTTCTCAGTGGCTAAAACAATTCATTTCAGCCACCACAGCAGCAATGAATGGCTCAAAATAGGCATGTTTACGGAGGGTTTAAGACCTATTAAAATTGTGAATTAGTGATCAGAAGAAGGGCAGAATAGAATTTGCTCGGTGCTGCCCCTTGGATATATTTGATACCATTGTATGGGAGTGGGGTGTTAACAGAAAACAGTGCTCTCCCTGGCACCTGGAAAATGCACCCCTCCTCAGCCACGTTGATAATGTAGCTTTAACACTGCAGTATTATATTATTACTGGTATTTATAATGCACCAACATGTTCTGCAGGGCTGTTCTAATGGATAAAAAGGTAGTACAATATACTCACATAAATACAAAAGGTAAAAATGGCCTTATCGTGAGCTGAGATCTAGCCATAGAAGCTAAAGCTACAATCTAAAAGTTAAACTAGGGAGCTGAAATAAGAGGCAGCAGGGGGTACGGAGGTGATGGCTAGAGAGAATGACACAATAATTGCAGCCACTACTAACATGTGGTTAATTAACATTTTTTGTTGATGGTTTGATGGACAGAAAGAGGTCCCTGAATGTTTGCCAGCTGCGGTGAAAATGTCACTGTCCGTGTCTGTTTCAGTGTCAGCATGGTTTGGCAATGAACTGGGAGAAAGCTCCCAGAGACTCTTGGCAATGTAACCACTACACTGTGCTTTAGTTGGTTAGAATGGACCGAAAGTACATAAGGTCAGTATGTACCCCATCAGGTATATGCTCTGATGCACAGTCTCCCTGTACAAACCTGAAAAACAGGTCTATGTTGGAATTCTACCATATGTTAGGACCAAAGGAGCTTTGTGTTCATGACATTTAAGTGTGATAATCACTGATAAAGTGCTTAATTACAGCGTTGTGTTATTGTAAAATAGCTGACTCTCTGATGGAATTCCAAATCATGCTCCAGATTCCAGTTCGGAACGGTACAATGGACTTCTTTGAGAAGTCGAACGCAACATCAACACTAAGCTACATAGTCTCATGGTAGAGGTACATCATGTGGCACTAAAATGTTCGGTCATAAGAAAATGTTTTTTGTTTTTTTAAATAAACAGATTTTATTTTGTTTCTTTTCTTAAGTCCTATCATTATAGAAATGGCTTTTGCTAGTAGCACATATATTCAGGGGCGGACTGAGAGCCTTTGGGGCCCCCGGACAAAATTAGATCCCAGGCCCTTTGAAGGCCAAATATACGTGCATTAAATAAATGTTAAATATAACTCATAATACGGCATTCCTTTGGATGTGTATATTGTGAAGACCTGTGTATCAATGCATGTTTGAATTTGAGTCTGTGTGAATGCACTTGTGCATGTCTGGATGACTACATGTGCTTTTTGTATATAGTGTCTGTGTGAATGCATATGTGACAGGTGACAGAGTGTATGAGGGAGAAGGTGACAGGTGGAAGAGTGTGGGAGGTTGTGACAGGTGGCAGAGTGAGGGGGTACCTGGTGGCAGAGTGAGGGAAGGAGGGGTTGAGGGGTGGCAGAGTGAGGGGGAGACACAGTGAGTGGGGGTGACTGGTGACAGAGGGAGGGAGAGGGGGTGACTAGTGTCAGAGTTAGGGAATGGGTGACTAGTGGCAGAGTGGGGGAGGGAGGGAAGAGATGACTAGTGGCAAAGTGAGGGAGGGAAGAGGTGACTGGTGACAGAGGGAGGGAGTGACTGGTGACAGAGGGAGGGAGTGACTAGTGACAGAGGGAGGGAGTGACTAGTGACAGAGAGAGGGAAGGGGTGACTGTCACTAGTCACCCCCTCACTCTGTCACTAGTCACCCCCTCTGTCCCTAGTCACCCCCTTCCTCACTCTGTCACTAGTCACCCCATCCCTCTCTCTGTCACTAGTCACCCCATCCCTCTCTCTGTCACTAGTCACCCCATCCCTAACTCTGTCACTGTGAAGGAAGGAAGGGGTGACTGGTGACAGAGTGAGGGATGCCTGGTGACAGAGTGAGGGAAGGGATGACTAGTGGCAGAGTGAGGGAAGGAAGGGATGACTGGTGACAGAGTGAAGGAATGACTGGTGACAGAGTGAGAGAGGGGGTGACTAGTGAAAGAGTGAGAGGGGGTGACTAGTGACAGAGTGAGGGAGGGAGTGGGTGACTAGTGACAGAGCGAGGAAGGGGTGACACAGTGACAGAGTGAGGAAGGGGTGACACAGTGACAGAGTGAGGAAGGGGGTGACACAGTGACAGAGTGAAGGAGGTGGTGACTGTCACTATTCACCCCATCCCTCCCTCTGTCACTAGTCACTCCCTCCCTCACTCTGTCACTAGTCACACCCTCCCTCACTCTGTCACTAGTCACACCCTCCCTCACTCTGTCACTAGAGTGAGGGGGTGACTAGTGGCAGAGTGAGGGAAGGAAGGGGTTACTAGTGACAGAGTGAGGGGATGACTGGTGACAAAGTGAGGGAGGGAGTGGGTGACCAGTGACAGAGGGAGGGAGGGAGGGAGGGAGGGAGTGGATGACCAGTGACAGATGGAGGGGGTGACACAGTGACAGAGTGAGGGAGGTGGTGACTGTCACTAGTCACCACCTCCCTCACTCTGTCCCTAGTCACCCCTCCCTCTGTCACTAGTCACCCCCTTCCTCACTCTGTCACTAGTCACCCCCTTCCTCACTCTGTCACTAGAGTGAGGGGGTGACTAGTGGCAGAGTGAGGGAATAAACGGGTGACTAGTGACAGAGTGAGGGAGGTGGTGACTAGTGACAGAGTGAGGGAGGTGGTGACTAGTGACAGAGGGAGGGAGGGAGGGAGTGGATGACCAGTGACAGAAGGAGGGGGTGACACAGTGACAGAGTGAGGGAGGTGGTGACTGTCACTAGTCACCACCTCCCTCACTCTGTCCCTAGTCACCCCTCCCTCTGTCACTAGTCACCCCCTTCCTCACTCTGTCACTAGTCACCACCTCCCTCACTCTGTCACTAGTCACCACCTCCCTCACTCTGTCACTAGTCACCCCCTCCATCTCTTACTCTGTCACTAGTCACCCCCTCCCTCACTCGGTCACCAGTCATCCCCTCCCTCTGTCACCTGTCACGCCCTCACTCTAGTGACAGAGTGAGGGAGGGTGGGACTTGTGACAGAGAGAGGCAGGGGGTGACTAGTGACAGTAAGGAAGGGGATGACTAGTGAAAGAGTGAGAAAGGGGGTGACACAATGACAGAGTGAGGAAGGGGGTGACTAGTGACAGTGAAGGAGGTGGTGACTGTCACTAGTCACCTCATCCCTCCCTCTGTCACTAATCACAACCTCCCTCACTCTGTCACTAGTCACCCCCTCCCTCTCTCTGTCACTAGTCACACCATCCCTCACTCTGTCACTAGAGTGAGGGGGTGACAGGTGACAGAGTGAGGGAAGGGGTGACTAGTGGCAGAGTGAGGGGATGACTGGTGACAGAGTGAGGGAGGTGGTGACTAGTGACAAAGTGAGGGAGGTGGTGACTGTCACTAGTCACCACCTCCCTCCCTCTGTCCCTAGTCACTCCTCCCTCTGTCACTAGTCACCCCCACCCTCTCTGTGTCACTAGTCACCCCCTCCCTCTCTATGACACTAATCACCCCCTCCCTCACTCTGTCACTAGAGTGAGGGGGTGACAGGTCACAGAGTGAGGGGGTGACAGGCCACAGAGTGAGGGAAGGGGTGACTAGTGGCAGAGTGAGGGAAGGAAGGGGTGACTAGTGGCAGAGTGAGGAAGGGGGTGACACAGTGACAGAGTGAAGGAGGGGGTGACTGTCACTAGTCACCCCATCCCTCCCTCTGTCACTAATCATCACCTCCCTCACTCTGTGACTAGTCACCCCCTCCCTCTCTCTGACACTAGTCAC